ACTACAGAAGGTTTTTCATGGATTAGGAATCTAGTGCAGAAACTGTGATCAGCTGTCTGCCATCTTGCAAAATATTGCAAAATATGCAATTTACAATTAATACCCATTTGAGCAAGAGCATATACAGCAGAATAATACCTGAACTGCTTTAAGAATTGTTTCAGTGTTGCAGAACCTGCCTTTCAACCTAGTGAGTTGTTCCAATGACTAAGTACCAAGCTCTTAGCTACAAATTGAAGTCTTATTTCCACTGCAGCTTTTCTCTAATTCCCTGTTCAGATTTTCACTTTAATTGTATTACCATGTCATGATTTAAGCCCAGCTGGCAGCTAAGCACCATACAGCTGCTTGCTGATCTCCCTCCCTCCACCCCCATCTCAGTGGAATGGTGAGGAGAATCAAAAGTAAAACTTGTAGGTTGAGATAAGAACAGTTTATTAATCAAAAACAAAGTTGTTGATAATGATAATGATGATAATGATAATGATAATAATAGAAAGACACCTACAGCCCCTAAATGTGAACTATATATAGTCCTTGTCTTTGGCTGACTGACTACATTGCCCAGTTTATCTGGACTTCTCTTCACAGAGGACTGACTTTTTTCCCTCCAGTGCACATGAAGGAGAAAGTACACCGATACTTTCCCCTTGAGCAGTTACCACTTCGACTGTCCATCACCTCCCTCCCACCACAGATCACTTAGAACTGCGACTGTTATGTGTTTAATTACTTCTGTTGGCTAATTCTGTTGGAGTAACAGGCATTCATGTAAATTCTTCTAATAGCAAACTTTACTAATCCTGATCTTTTGACAAGAAGCAGGTAAAGGAGGAATGAAAACTGCATTTACATTGGCACATTTGAGGAGGCAGAAATCTCTAGAAGGAATATCAGGGACAGTAAAGGTAAGTGGGCTGGTTCAGCCGCAGGCAAGGGAAGGCAGCTGGCAGCAGGCTGAGAAACTTTCTTTTTGAGACCACAGGGCTGGAAAGGGGTATATCACTGAGAAATATACCACTGAGGCTTTCTCTTTTCTTTAGATGTAAAACTTCTTTCACAAATTGATTATTTTTTCCTCATAGCCTTTCTCATGTACCCAGTCTACTGAAACTGTTCCTGTTTCTCATGCTTCTATGTGTGTTGCAATTCTATCAGAGGGTGTGGTGGGAGTGTTGCATTTTTAGAGACAATTCAGCATTTTGGAATAAGATATTTTTACTACAGGAGTTAAAATGGCAATGTTGATTCTGAATTTAGTCAACTGACATATGTCTTTAAGATGAGATAAATCAGGAATGTTTCAGAAAAAATAGATTTCCACCAAATTTGAAATATTTTTGCCAAAAATTCAGTTTGAAAGTGGTTGTGACAATAGTCTTCAGTTAACATTACAGTACTGGGTTTTTTTGGCTTCAGAAGTCTTCCATTACAGTATTTATTTATGAAAATTTACTACCAAAAAATGGACTAACTCCACTGTTAAAAAAAAACCCAATGAATTCCTGTACTTACATGAGAGGAGGAATTAAAAAAAAATATTTAGACATTAACCTTTGCATATCAGAACCAGAAACAGGTGTTATAATTTGAATAGCCTGAACCAGAGGTGTCTAATCATCTCTGCTTAAATACAGTTCAGCAATTACCAGGGTTCTTTGACAATTATTGTGATGTTGTGCAGATACTGCCATTTCCCTCTATTCTTTCATATTTCATAAGAAGGATTCCCTGAAACTCAGAGTAGGCAGTAAAATAGATATCATAATTTTCTATGATTTTTAATCTCCTTACAAAGATTGAGGGTTTGTTTATTTGTTTGTTTGTTTGTTTTCTCCGGGGTAACTACCATACTGGGTCTTTGTATTTAATGTTAGTGTGTTTAGGGATGGGCACAGCAGCAGGTGTGCTGGGTGTGCCTCGCTGTTCCCTCCTGTTCCGCCGAAGGTCGCTCGCCAAAGCGGCGGGTCCAGTTTCAGTAGGGGATGGGAGCGGAGCACGGCTGCAGATGCGCTCTTACAGAGGGGACCAGGGGCAGCACTTACCCCTCCGCTGTAGCAGGGGGAGCTTTCGGGACACCTCGGCGGGGGATCTCCTTCGGCGTACGGGCAGTGGGGCTCCGCGGGAGCGGGACGGGGAGATGCAGAGGGAGCGGGACCGCGGGATGCAGAGGGAGCGGGAAGGCTCCCGCGTCCCGGGGACAAGTGGCGTGGAGGGTCGGCAGGTGCATCCGGAAGAGGGAAGGTTGACCGAGGATGCTGCAATTTTCTGAATTTTTATGCTCTGTGATCAGCCATGAGGGATATTTTTTTTTTCTGCTTTGTTTTTTGTTCGTTTGTTTTCGTTTGTTTGTCGGTTGGGGGGGTTAACGATAAAAAAGAAAAATAATCTACTTTTGGATTGATGTTTGCCTTTAGTGGAAATGTATGTGTGTGACTTCAATTAATGCTGATGAAGGTTAGTTGCCTGGGGGAACGATGAGAGTCAGTATCTCTCCAACCTGTCTTGGAGAGAATGATGCTGTGGCACTATTTTAGACAAAGTGCTTTGGATTGTGTCTCTACAAAGAAGCAAATAGAAAGACTAAAGAAATATTTGTGTGATATGACAGCTATGTTTTAAGTCAGTAATTCAACTTTTTGAAAGAATTATAATTTTCTGATATTTTCTACTCATTGGAACGAGACAGAATGATCATTTTTGCTGGTCATTCATTGCCTCACATTTACTGAAGAAGACACAGATATCTTTGTGTCAGAAACTGAGAAAAAAAATGGAATATAAATGGGATTTTTTTTTTTAAATGCTGTTGTGCAGCCGAACCATCAAGCATTAACATAAGGTTTAAAAATTTTCTTGCACTTTAATATCAGACTCATGTGCAGTCAAGTCATACCATGTGAAGAAAAACGTCTTCCATTAATAGTTTAACTCAGATTCAATAAATGTCTGCTTTATAGTAGCAGTTAAGGAGTAGTTAAGGTTTTTACAGAAAAAAATCTATGAAAGCATTACTGTTATTGAATTTGCATTGGTCTTACATAGAAATCTCCAAGCAAATCTTCTGTTATGATGTCATTAAAATTCAATGACTTAATGAAAATGTCATATATTGAGCAAAATTTTCAGTATTTTCCAGGTTTCTGTCATTATATTCCATCACTAACCCACCCTCACCTCACCCTCCACCTTCCCAAAGAAAAGGATCTATCAAAAGGATAGATGTTTGTCTATACAACCATGGTTTGTTAATTCAAGGTTATTATTTTGGATAGGAGGTCTTATTAAGAACATGAAAATTTTAATAGTTGTTTTTGAAAGCTACAGTTGTTTTCTTAGATGAGTATTTGCAAAAAGCGTAAACCCAGATTACCTGCCATTGCCTCTAATACAACCAAGTTTCATGCCTCTCCTGGGGGTAGGCAGTGCATCACACAGAAAGGAAAATAAAGGAAGATTATACTTGACAAGTAAATGTGATATCACTTAGCTATGGACCTGGTCTTGAAGATTTGTCCATCAGGTTGCACAGGGGCACAGCCTGCCTCTCCATAGTCTGCACCATGGGCTGCAGGGGAATCTTTGTTCTGGTGCCTGTAGCACCTCCTTTTCCTCTTTTTCCACTGACCTTGGCATCTGCAGATCTGTTTCTCTCACATATTTTCACTCCTCTTGGCTGCAGTTGCTGTTGCACAGTAACTCTTTTCCCCCTTCTTAAATCTGTTATCCTAGAGGTGCTACCACTGCTACTGACAGGGTCAACCTTGGCCAGTGGCAGGTCCATCTTGGAGGTGGCTGGCATTAGCTCTGTCAGACATAGCAGAAGCTTCTGTCAGCTTCCCACAGAGACCACCCCTGTAACACCCCCCCACACTACCAAAGCCTTGCCATTCAAACTCAATACAAGAAGCATAAGCAGCAATTATCCCAGTTCTGTGATGAAATCCTAGTGAGTTAAAATACTAGGACAGACCCTAAGCAAGCCAAAGATTAACTAGTCTTGGTGTCCAGTTACTGTTTGTTCTGAAATTTAGCACTATGTCCAAGTGGGACAGTGGGACAATGGCAAGTATCCAACATCCACCCTTATAAAAAGTCATGTCAACTGTTAAAGATATATGTGCTGCATCAAGGCCTTCAGGCCCAATGGATATAAGTGGATGACTTCAGCAGTTACATTTACCTTACTCACCTTTCCAGCATCTTGTCATCATGGTGCAGATGGCCTTGTTGCTTGATGGTGAAAGAGTCTGTGTTAGTGACCATTTACAGAACTGAGGCAGGTATTCTGCAGTTCAAATTTCTTCTTCAGTTCTTTGGCCAAGTAGGTAAACCTCTGCTTAAATCCTTTCCTTTTCCTCTTCTCTTCTTTTGAACAGAGCTACCCTCACCCAATTGTTAATACATCCACTTATGAACAATCTCATACATTTAATTTTATTTTATTTATTTTATTTTTTATTTTTATTATATTTTTTCTTCCTAGAAATAAGAAACAAAATTTCATCACTTTCAAGAAGGGTGCAGTTGATACACAGGTAAACTTCTATTTCTCTCACACTCGTATCAGCAAATTAAATTGACCCATTCCACAGCTGCTATTCATTTTGGCTGCTTAAACAATAACCCAAGGAGTTACACGTCATGCTGCTTATAGCAAACAAGCTGTAAATTTTCCAAGGGAAACACAGAAACATGGTCAGGACACTTGCTAGCAAAGCATCCCAGCATCACCAGAGTTCTAGCATACCCATTCAAACTGATTTATGATACAAGATAACTGTTTTGTTTGTGTGTAAAATGACTGGGTTAGACAGTGCTCAGAGCACACCTATTTTAAGTAACTTGTAGGCAGACTTTTTAAGGAGCTTTAACAGTGAAATCTTTACATTGTTTCAAGAACCTTAGACAAATAACCAGTTAACACTTTTCCACCTTTATTACCACATCAACAAAAAGGGAAAGATAGCTCTTGGCCTGTGTAAAATTAGGGTTTAGCAATGAATCTCAGGAAGCTCAACAAGGCCAAGTGCAAGGTCCTGCACCTAGGTCTAGACAATCCCAAGCACGAGCACAGGCTGGGCAAAGTGATTGAGAGCTGCCCTGGGGAGAAGGACTCGGGGGTGTTCGTGGACAAAAAGCTCGACATGACCCAGCGCTCTGTGCACTCACAGCTCAGAAGGCCAGCCGTGTCCGGGGCTGCATGAAAAGATGCATGGCCAAGAGGTCAAGGGAGATGATTCTGCCCCTCTCCTCTGCTTTTCTGAGACTCCACCTGGAGTACTGCATCCAGCTCTGGGGCTCCAAACACTAGGAAGATGTTGATCCGTTGTAACAAGACCAACAGGAGGAGGGTCACTAAGTTGATCAGAGGGTTGAAGCACCTCTCCTACAGAAACAGGTTGAGAGAGTTGGGGTTGCTCATCCTGGACAAGAGAATGCCCTGGGGAGACATTACAGCAGCCTCCTAAAGGAGGCTTACAAGGAGGCTGGAGAGGGACTTTTCACAAGGACATGTAGAGATAGGACAAGGAAGAATGCTCTTAATTTGATTAGAGGGTTTGATTGGAAGATTGATTTGGATCACCCTAGCCAAGAGAAGTTGCCAGAGCACTCTCCGAGAGTAGAGTAAACACTCTGTTACTAAAAGGTGTATCTTGGATGATTACATGTTTGTTTAAATTGTAATGGAGTTATTACATAACAGATTTCATTTTGAAAATAACATAATCCAATTCTTTCATGTACAATCTTGAATATACAAAATCTTTCTGTGAAAATTTTTAAAAAATTCAGATAATCATTAAACAGTAGTATACACTGAGGTGTGAGACTTAATTATTGAGATCCAAATTATTATCCATCAATAATTAATTTTCTCTTGCTACTACAGAACTAAATGCTAAAATCACTGAAAAACGAGTGAATTTCAGCCTTTCTGTCAGAATGGTACACGAGGCTTGACTGAGAGATCTTGGAGTGGATGGCACAAGGTGATCAGTGCTGCAGAGACAATCATCCTTCCTTCTCTGATTGGGATTATCTCTTCAACAGGCTTAGTTGGAAATATCCTCATTGTGTTCACAATAATAAGGTATGGAATGGAATACATTTTCATTTATTGTATAAATAAGGAAATGGATTGCCAATCAAAGACAAGGCTAGCAAGTTTTTCATGTTCCTTTTATTCATTGACATTTACTTCTTATTTAAAAAAAAAAAAGTTAAATCATGACTATAGATAGCAGTAATTTATGCCTGCTTACCCTTTTTGGCTATAAGAAAGGACTGAAGTGCATGACTGACTTCAAACATATTCAAGGAAACTGAAATACATGCCTTCTTCCTGGGTTTCCAGTAGAATTGGCAGAAATCTTCCCTCTAGCACATGTAAAAGTTAGACTAAACTTTAAACTTTAGTTATGGTAATAACAAGGGATTATAATGTTCTACAGAATTCTTTTAAGATCAGTTGAAATATAGTCTCCTTTGAAAACTGTACTTCTGCCCCAGACTATTTTAGTAACAGAGCTTTTTCTGACTTCTGTCGATTTACAGCAACTTCCTAGAACTCATTGCTGTTTTCCAGCATCACCTTACTTCTGGAAATGGGCCTTAGTGCTAGCTGAGGTTTCTCACATGGCAGGAATTAATACCTCAAGATATTTTTGTTGTATGCTGAGAAAGTGAAATTGCTGAACTTGTTTATTTTTGAGGGTCATAAAATCTGACCCAACCATCCTTTATGGAAAAAAAAATACCTTCTAATATCTTAATTTTAACAGAAGGAGAAAAAAATGCCACAAACCACATTTACTCTCAACAGGCTGATGCTACCACAAACTCTAAATCCAAAAGCATGTATCTTGCAAAAGTGGCTTTTATCTGTGGTGCAAATTTAACATGAAGAAATATTGCACATAAGGCTAACAATCATCACACTCTGCAAGGACTAATAGATGGACTCCACCTCAACATACCGTGCTTTCATAGGAAAGGTTTGCAAAGGCCAATGGAGGGCTAAGTGTCTGTCAGCCTCTGGGTTTTAGTATACCTCCCTTGAAACTAACAGAAATTCAGTGCCTGGTGCACTCAAGAACACTGTAGTTCATAATTTGAATGCAGAAGAGAACAAATGTGAAAACAGTATGTCTGAAGTGAACATAATGGCAATATGACTTTTGAAATGTATGAATGAATAGAAAGGGGGAAAAAATTAGTTGTAGTGTCTCTAAAATAATAGAATAGAAGGAAAATAACAAGGAACAAAAATTATTATTTTCCCTTGGTGAAAAGCCTTTGTCTGACTTAAATAAAAATATGAGAGGCAGAGAGAAAAGACACAGACAATGACTTGAAATAAAAGGAATATAATTTAAACCATATTTGCTTGAGAAAATTACAAGCATTCAAATGTATGGGCATGAATATTTATATTCAGGAAAAGAATTTGGAAATAGTGTGTTAAAAAGTTAATGTGGTATTTACCAACACCACAAAAGAAACAAACCTCAGATGCTGCAGATGAAGGTACATTTAAATTTTAGCTACATTTTGAAACATAATAGTGTCAATAATCTTCTCATCTTCCACTAAACAGATCTGATTGTACTCAGTGGCTCTGCTTCAAAGTTGTCTTTCTTCTCTCTTTATTGAACATATTTTTTCATGCCAACATTTTACTTTTGTTAACATTACAGAGACAATTCTTTTAAGAGAAAAGGAAGCTAGATTATTTCTCTAATAAAGTAGAAAGTTATTTACTTTCTGGTAGCAAAAACTTTATTGACTGTAGAAAACGATAAAGAAAAGACCTTGGAATTTCAGCTCCCCAATTTCATTTGCAAGTCTGCCAGCTAGGGACAGACATTTTTAAGCGTAAATTAAAGTTAAATCATCTGCAACTTACTGGGAGGAAATAGCTGAAAGTCCTAGTGAATCTTGCATGTAATATATGCCTATGCAGTGAGATTTAATTTAAAAATTACTAACTCAGTGGCTTTTGGCTGGCCCTCCTTGTGTAAATTACTTTCATCCCTTGGGAATAATACAGGGAATTGAGATATGCTACTATTAAGTAAAAAGAAAATGATGAAAAAAATGTTGCAAGGGTTCTGTGTTAGCCCAAAAGATGAAATAATCTTCATCGAAACAATCTAGAAAAGCTGGTCCTTAGACCTGCAATTCTGTTAGCAAGATTTTTATGTAAACCCACTGACTTTGGTGGAGTGGCTGCTGGGAGAACAACTGTGGCTTTGTACGGAGGAGGAAAATATAATCCAGACCACCCATTAGTCTGACTTCATATCTTTAAGAAAAAGTATGGAACAGAAGAGTAAAGGGAATCAAAAAAAATTTCAATTATCTGAAAGTACTCCTTTTCAGATTAACTTGATTTTGGATAAGATAACATAATAGCGAGTGGTAAAATAACATTTCCTAAAATGCAGAGATTGCAAATAAGAGTCAAGGCACTTATTGCATTCTTCAGCTGGAGAAGGCATATTTGAAACCGAATGCAGAGTCGCTGGCATAAAATTTTTGAAACCTCTACATAGAGCTAGATTTTGTGTTAGAAGATTTTTCATGTTATCATGTTGGAACTATTAAGTCAGCTAAAGAACAATTTCATGAGTAGAACTACAACATAAGAAAAAATAGCTCAAGTGTGGAGGGTACTAGGAAATATTGATAAAAAACCCAAGTTTCATGAAAAAATTTTCAGGAGAAAATCAGTTAATATGGAATTTTCAGGGACTGGTTGTGGGGCTAGGCAGATACCATATTTTCCCTCAGAGACCTGAGGCAAAGTATAGGAGTGGGTCAATAGTATTCCTAGTGACATTCACTAGGGAGATGTGTCTGATGTGAAGCAGTGTAAGATTATCAAACAGAAAGAACCACATAAAGAATAGAGGAGAGGCTAGAGCAATAGAAATGTTTTCACACCTATAGAATCTTTTTCATACCAATATTCTTTTTTAAATAGGAAGCACTCTTTCCAGAAAACAACAGAAGAAAAGCTCCTAAGATTGCTACAGGCTGTTATTAAGCTAAAGCTGTGTGAGAGGCACACATGGCTGTAATATATGTAAGGCTTTGCCTTTCCAGGGAAAAGAGGAAAATGCTAATGCTATTTTCCAGGCTCATAGAAAGGTCTGAAATACAATTCTCACCAGCTGTTTCCAGGAAAAATAAGATATTAAGACTGCAATAAGAAGAGAACAGGAAAAAACAAAACAAAACAAAACAACAACAACCACACACACACACAAAACAAACAAAAAAAGAACAAACAGAAAATAACCTAACAGAACCAGAAGAAGGGAGAACTATCCAAATTCACCTAAATTTGTTTACATGCAGAAGGAAAGGGGACCGCGATTAACATCAGAAATGGAAATTTTAAATCACTTTCTCCTAGTTGGGCTGGTTTGCTGATAACAGATTTTGTAGAGGAAGATGGGCCTAGATGGGAGGATGACTTTTGCTGCTGCAGGGATTCCATTTTCACCTTTCCCATGGGAAGAAAGGGTATATACTTATGATTTTAAATGTGTGACCCATACAAATTATCTTGTCTTTGACCTGAAAGATCAATTCCAAATTAATACTTAAGCCTCAAGTTAATGAAGAGCTTTCTGTCCAGGAGGATCTCTATAAATTCTGATGATGGCACACAATGCAGTCAAAGGGGATAAATACTGACTAATGGCAACACATCATGCACCTGTCAAGTTTCTTGAATTTGTTACTGAAGAGACAGTCATTATATGGATTATTATACTGTCATGTGTGCTCAATACTTCTTTTTATTATGGATTGGGAACATTCAGATCCATTTTTAATGCGTTTAATCTGTAGAAGTAGAGTTGAAGAGGAGGTAGAACAGATTTGACATATTCTCAGATTTTACAGAACAGCAGTTGTACTTTTGTGCATTTTTCATAGGGTGTTTCAGAGATGAAAATTAACCTGGCATGGGTGGAAGAATGAGAAACTACTGAGAACTTTGAAGTCTGTGGTGAGAGGGTAGAAAAAACCTGAAAGGATAAAGAGAAAGAAGTTTGAAATAGAGGCTCTAACTATTATTTTCAGGAGGGGAGAGAGGGGATGAAGGTGTGGGTTGCCTGGGGGTTATTCTTATTTGATTTTTTTGTTTTTCTAAAGTGATCATTTTAGCAGAAGACAAGCATCACTGTCTTAATAAAAGCAAAACAGTTTTAAATTATAAAAGGTGGCAAATTTTTTTTGTGAATTATAAAGTTTACTTCATAAGTTACCATTTAAATATTGTGGCTCTGAGACACCACAGCCAACTATACAAAAATCTATATGAAAGTATAGATTCTTTTTTTACATTAAGCAGTCAAGAATGTCTGCATTTTTAAGCAGGATTTAGCCCTGGCCAGCTGCATTACAGGAAGGCTCAGATACCTTCTATTTATGCTAGGCTGATATTCCTAGAGTTCAGATGCCCACCACACCTGTGTTTATTTTGAACACTTTATAGTTTTCAAAGACGAACATGGATAATTTTGCTGATGTCAATAAATTAAGTAGCCTATTCAGCTTCACTGGAAAGCAAGATTATGAACAATATATTTTTGTTGAGCTTAAAATGTTTAGTTTGGTATATCTTTGGGTTGATAAACTTCCCTGGCCCTAAAACAGTGGTTCTGATGGTGTTTTTATTTGTCTGAAGTTCAGTTTTGAGGTCTGTTCTATTGATAGTATGGTTGAAAAACAATACAGTTACTATGTCAAGTAATCATCTTCATGTCTTCCAATTTATTACAGAACCCAGAAAAAAACTATCCCAAATATCTACATCTGCAATCTGGCTATAGCAGATTTGGTTCCTATCATTGGCATGCCCCTTCTCATACCCCGGTGGGTATGTGGGTTTTTGGTAGCCCTCTTTGCACCATCACTACCTCCCTGGACACATGAGACCAGTTTACATGCAGTGCCATTATGACTGCAATGAGCTTGGACAGGTACCTAGTTTCCCATTTTCATTCTATACCTCAGGACAATAATACCTGATTGTGTTAATGCAAAGCTGTTGTAATTCAAGAATGAGAATGCCATCAGGCATGGTTAATGATTTTTTGAAAACTGTACGAATTATTTCTGATGTTTGTGGGGGTGGCAGACAAATTGTAAGTCTCAACACAACATCATTCTTTGTACAAGGCCTTAAGTGATTCTAATCCAGTGTTACTCTTCTGGGGCTCATCTTCAGAGGTGCAGCTTCTAGTAAGGGTTTAATGTCACTAAAAAAACTTGGTTTCACCATTCCTGTTTAAGATAAAAAAATTGGCTTTTAGGTAGACTGAAGAAATCTTTTATATTTGTTATTTTTTAAAACCTTTATTAAAATGCCAGAGGAGTACAACAAGAATTTTGTTGTTGTTGTTATTATTAACTAGAAAGTTCAAAAACAGCTTCCGCATTATTGATCTTAAGGAAAAAACTAACAAAATTCAGGAAAGAAAAGTCTACTTTGGACCAAAGTTATCTCTTTCCATATGTCAGAGTGAGCATAAAGGAAAACAGAAAGACAAACTTTCTTGTATAGCATGATGCACTGATCAATCGATAAGAAGACATGGGGATAAACAAACAGTGTCAATTGGAAGGACAGTTACTATTGAATTTGTAGCATAAAAGACAGCATGCTTCCATGGTAGTGAAACGTAGTTGGTAAAGAGAGGGAGAGAAAAATCACCAGAAAACAGAAAGAAGTAGAAAAATCCATAATTTTGAAATGGAAAAAGTATGGTTATCATAAAGTGGCTACACTGATGCATATGAGAAATCTAATTTGGCTGACATACAGTTAGAAAAGACTCAAGAAATTATCAGTTCCTTTGCAGTTCAGTTTTAAAAGCTTTGTTCTTATATTTTCTTGTATTCTTGTATCAGTAATGTGACAAATGACATATATTTCTAAAGAATTTACATATAGCAGTATCTTTAATCTTGTTGTTTAGAGAAAAAAATTATGCAAAAGATAGTAAGTATTAAGGCAGGAATAAGACGTGAGGTCCTAATGAGAAAAGACAGAATATCAAAATCTGGTATGAAAAATAATTTATGTCCCAAGTAAAGCCATGTCTTAAAACAAATCTGTGGTTTTTCCAGAAAGAAAGCTTGTGCTTTCTTTTTTGTTTTGAGGCAGATTTTTCCATCTTATATACACTTGCCTAGGGAAAGCTCTTCAAATTACTTCTCTCTCCTTAGTTTTATCACTCCTAATAACAATTATGACATTATAGTCAAGAGAAACAAAGGTTTTTCAGATAACAACCTCCCAAACTGTTTAGTCCTTGACAGTTTCAGTAAAGCACTTCTGAATCCACCTAGGAGCCTTTATTAAGTGAAAATATTAAACTAGCATTTTTGCCAAAAAATCAGCAATTTATCAGACTGACTGCAAAATCATCCTACATTCACAATAAAAGACACATAATTTACGTAATTTATATTAGTAAATGATGAGTAACATAACTATGACTAATGCAGCATTGAACATTTTCATGTGCTCTTTCATATTTCTCAAAAATAAAAAAACTTAGAATGGAAGACAGGAGCAGGTCAGACCTGAGAAGGTAGGTTCCAGAAGAAGCCTGAGCTAAATAAAATGAGTACCATATGCAAATTAATATCAGTCACATTGCTGGATAATGGTTTTATTCTCATAAAGCCTCTTCTTCATAATAGGAGTTCACAATGGTCCAACAGAGACTTTAGTATTTCAACATTTCTTTTTGCAAATAAAATGTCTTTATAAGGTCTTAAGAAGTGGCAAAACCAGCTGTTCTCTCCATGGAGCTTTAGGGGTCAATTTTGGAGGGAAACAATGTATAAAAGTTTGCTTTCCATTACTCGCTTTAATATGAAATAAAAAGCATTAAGGAAAGCTGTAAAAATTATGCAAGTCAAGTATGCATACTAAAATTTATGAGAAAGTTTCCTAAATTGACATCAAACACATTTTTTTAATACAGATTTATATTTATGCCACAGACAGACATAACATAAATTAAACCTGAATGAAACTTTGGTAGCACAACTTTTGCTTATGGGTTAAAAGAAAATTTTGTAAGAAGCAACTCACAGCATCTGTTCTCTGGACAAAGATTCACGTAGTCATGCATAGACAACAATCCTAATATAGATTACCCCCATGTACATGAAGAGTAAATCTGATTGTTCAACAAAAATACCACTATGCAAATCTGGCCTGGGTGAAATCAGAACTGTGTGTGCTGCAGACATCATCTCCTCAAGCTCAAAAATTGACATACTCTTATGTTACTGTCTCTGGTGAAACAGGAGGAATGATAAGACAGGTGAAAAGATCCAGTATGATGTCCTACTCTAAAGTCTTCACTTTGCACATTCCAATATGCCACTTGAATTTAACTGAAGATGAACACTGCAATCAGCAATGTTAGTGACTTTAAAATGACAAAGGAATTCTTTGGCCAATGAAATTTTTTAAAAAGAGCCAAGACTTACATGTTCAAAATTACTGATGTAAGAAGCCATAGCATTCCTCGTTCCTTTATGGCACACAAGATGCAACTGGTAAAGCTTATGCTGGACTTTCTTTCTATGACAGGAGGCTGCAAGGCACATCTCATTCCCTGTGGCATGAATCCACTGGAGCATGTCACAGGAAAATACCACCATTTGGGTCCCTTCTTACAGAGTTCAGCTGCTTCTGACTAATTTTAGTACAAACTTTGGTTATAGGAAAAGGTGTAATCCCTTCATAGGTGTTCAGTTGCCTATAATTTAAAGTGTACTTTTGGTATGGCACAGCTATATAACCTCAGAATCCTGAGAAAGTTGCTAAACCCTAACCTGTGCAGAAGAACCTAGAGCAGACCCATGTGTGCTAAGGTGAGATAGACTGAAACCCAAGATAAGATTGTTGAGGTGGAGACAGCCCCTCACAGGTTCAAGAAGAGAAACACTGGCACAAAGAAGTATAAAATTAGCAAAATGAGGGAGTCTTAAATTGCCCCTTCGTTCCCATTGACATCTGCCCAGCAAAGAGCCAAGGGTGCCATACTCAGGTGGTAAGAGCACTAACACTTATCCTAGGAGCTTGGTAGCTCTAAGTGTCTGCTGTCTACTGAAATAGATAATAAACAATTGCTTTTTGAGAATATCCTGTTTGCAAAGCATCTCTGTGCAGTGGAAAAGTTTCCTGAACAAGTTCCTGAAATCTAAGAGTTACATGGGTACCAATAAATTTTGAGAGTTGCATAAACATTTATTTAGCCCATACCCTTACAGCTGCAGACACATCAATGGAGAAGTGAGGCTGGGAAGATAAATCTGGAGTAAGTAGCTCTGTGACAGCTGAAAAGAAACAGACAGGTGTTCTAAGCATTTGGAGCAGCCGAGACTGACAAGCATGAGAAAATGTATTACTGGTTTGCCCATTGCTGCAATATTGCTCTAAGAAATATTTACCAAGGCAGTATCACCGGTAGGGTGGAGCTGTAACCCTATAAAAGTCATGGGCTTTCAGTCATTTAGAACCAGAACCACTTGATTTGGCATGGACTAATCCATTTACTCATTCTTCACATGCCATTTTCAGTCGCTCCTTGCTTCACTTCACTTGCAGTTACACATACCCCAGCCAGAGGGAAAGGTAAAAGCCTTTTAAAAGTTCAAACTCCTGAGCAGCCCATTTGCCCTTGAGTACAATACATCCTGCTGTCTCTTGGGCAAGCCTAGCAGCAGTACATTTTAAGCCAATTCAGACAACATATTAACGTTTAAAATAATAAGAATATTTCTGCAAATCTGTGATGATAATAATAATAGTGTCAGTATAAGATATTGTGACATAATAATAATGTTAGGCTCTAGGATAGGTTAAGATGCATCCAGAGGCAGGAAGAAAAAAGTGAGGAAAAAATCTAATCTCTAAGACACATTTTCCCTCTCCATTTCCTATATGCATAACAGAAATATGAGCACGTTTGTGGCTTTGCTACAAATCAGACAAGATGATTTGTAATTAGCTAAAACATTAACTAGGATCATGTGCTCTTATGAAATATTTCCTCTTTCCAAGTCTTGCCTTGGCTTTCACAATCATGTACTTTGGTGGTGGCTGGTCTCATAGATGTTCCTCCAGGCAGCATTGTAACAGGAGGTTTGGCAGAAAGGCCAAAAAGAATGCAGTAATAGGCATGGCTAACAAGCACCACATACCTGGTGCCTTGTACTTTTTGAGATCTCGGCAGGCTCCATCGCTGCCTCCTTCTCCCATTTTCTATGTCAGAGACACTTCTCAGACAATCCCCTTACTGTTTGTCTCAGACAAACACATTCTTCAGTGTTTTCCCAACAAAAGACTTTCATTACTGATAACTATTTCTTTAGATGAGGACACATCTACCTTTAAGTTCCACTCTCTGCTTGAAGGGGAAATTAGCCCTTACTTTCAAAACACATTTTCCCAAATGGAGTACTCATCCTTCATTTCAAAAATTTATCATCAGAAAACAGGCAAGATTAAAATTACATCCAAAATGAAACAACAAATAGAATCCCGCTGCTACAAAAGAATGGAGGCAAAAGCTGCTTGATAAGCATTTAGGATGAGATTGATTTCTTATTGTCTGAGGAAGGGTAAGTTGGAAAAACTGGAATAAGTTTTAGTTCTATCAAGAAAAAGAATAATGTACTTTCACATTGAATTGAATTTATGGTGTTGTTTTCATTCCATTTGGCCTAATGATTTCCTTTTCATCTTTCAGTTCATTAAATCATGTTTTCCTTTGGTCAGATGAATATTAAAAGTGAGAATTAGGAACCCAGGTATATTATCCTTTATAGACACATATTAGTATATGAAAATAATTGATCCAGAAAGTGTGAAAAGTCATCTTACAATACTTAGGGAAATACACATTTATGCAGACCAGATTTGAAGACATCGTTGTAACCTGCCCTTTACTTTTGTGACAATCCTTTGAAAATTCAGCACTGTATCCAGGAAAACTATGTCCGCACAGTAAAAACCAGGACCACCCAACAGATAGGTAGTGATGGGCATTTCTGGAGCAGGAAGATGTGGATTCAGCACCCATCCCAGGCTAGAGGGTTCCTTTGCGTGTTCTGTTCCTTCCCTTAATGATCTTCTGTGCTCATTTGCACACTTTATTTTATCACAAACTGCATTAGTCTGATAACTTCTAGACTGCAGCTGCCTCTGAAAAGAGTTGCGTTCACTGTTGCTAAGTTTTGGGCTGCACTGGGCTCTGGTCCTTTGAGCAAAGGCAATATCATCTGTTAAGCCACACGTCACATGGTGCCTTAAGAGCCTCACAGCCCTCTCTCTGTAGCTGAGTAGCCAGCTTTCTGCTAGCAGCTCTGGTCATCCAAGCCACCGTGGCAGCCTTTCCCAGAGCCTCTAGGGCAGCACTTTCCCCTTGTTCCCACGCTGCAGATCTTGCATGTTATCCTCCCAGCCCTGCACCTGCAAACCCCACAGCACTGTTACAGGGGGTTCTCATGGGAAGTGACTGCCACCAGCGTGAGAATCACCCCTGCTTCCCCTCCCTCTTCCTACTCTGTGATCGAAGCTTCTGGTTGACATTAGTGGACCCAAAAACATGCATGCCCAAAACTTAGCAGGTCAGCGCACAGCCTCAGCAAAACACACTCTCAGCAACACCAACAGCTTCGTTGACAGGAGCAACTGGTAAGAAGCGAGTCCTGACAAAAACTGCATTGATACTGTGGAAAAAGCATTCCAGGGAAAACCATGTACTGCACTCTAGCAGAGACACAGAGGAGAATCCTTGCCTGGAACAACCCCTATTGTTTCTCTTCCACTCTCTTTCCTTTAGTTTATATTTTTCCCCTAAAGTAAATGTATGACATCAGCTACAGACTCTGCTAGTAAATCTATTTGCATGTGAACCTGTCTTGAAAACATTTGTGCGCATAGTATGCACAGGTATATTTATTTATATATATATATATATATATACGTGTGTGCGTGTGTGTGTGTGTGTATATATTCTGAACCTGAACAAGTTGAAACAAAATGGAGATCTCATTAAAATCTTCCTGCTAAGGGAAGCATATGAAAGCAGTAACGAGTTTTTTTATCACCCAGTTGTAGGCACCAGATAAAGTTCAGTCTCTCATTAATGACAGGCAGTAGGCATGACTGAGAGGTGATTCACAGGGTGTACAGAGTGCACAGCACAGGATGGAATATCCTGACTCCTTCCTTGAAGCCAGTGGGAAGAGTGGGGACTGACTCGGGACACTTCTTACCCCATGTCAGAGACTAATATCACTTTTTTGTGCCTCCCCCATGCATCCTATTTCCATCTTACACACCTTCATTTTCTCACAAATACTTCCTTTGACTCACAGTTTATTTCCTGATTATTTTTTTTTGTAACCTCCTTGTAACTTTCTACAGCATTCATTCTTTGGAAACAGCTCTGTTGACAATTTGAAAAATAGTTATTGTATTGTTCTGTTACTTTGCATAGAGATGTTATTGCTTGCACCACTTAAAAAATGAAAGCAAGCTGAAGGCTTGCTTACACTGTGCTTACATGGAGACTAAGAGGTCAAATATTGTGTAGAAGAGGAACAATCACAAGTTTTAAGAACCTGAGAAGCCTGTAAATTACTCTCAATTACGCAGATCATGTAAGCAGTATCAGTGTCAGAAGCTATTTCCGTGAAACAGCCAGTGAAACAAGAGAGCTAGCTGTACCAAGAATGATACAAAGTAGTTCTGCCATGACAAATGTAGAGGATTTCTGTTATTTCTTGTCACCATCATGAGGACTGAGAATAACTGCATGAAATCAGACATAGCTTTTTAAGATACCATATGCCAGAGCAGCCTTTTGCTGATTCTAGAAATGATGACCATTACTTTAACCTCATTTAGTGAAAGAACTTGATTGTTACAAAGCTTGAATAATGGGGGGAAAAAATCTATTTCATACTCGCACTCAGGTAAGACTGAAATACCAATCTTTCTTCATCTTAGGCAATGGCTCCTAATCTTCATTGTTTTAAGAGTAATGATAACAAGCAACTAAGGTGCTGCAAGCACCATGTTCTGGCAGGCTGGTGAATCTATCCATGAAAAGCAAAGTACAGGACCTTGAGCAACGACCCAAGGTCTTGCAGGCAACATGTTGCCAGCACCTACAGACAAGGATCTTCTGATTTGTGTCAGATATTTGCATTGTAAGTCGTGGCAGCTGGCCTGTGCAGCACCAAAGTGAGGTCGACTGGTTATTGTTCCTGGTTGCCTCGTGTGATTATATCAACTCAAAGCCATCATAAGGCAGTGCTGCAGCTCCCTTCAAACCACTTTTACAGAGCAGAGTGACTTTGACAACCACAAAGCGATACCAAGATCCAGGACAATTGAAATCCTCAGCCTCTGTCACATACTGTCTGCACCCCAGTACCTTTTGGCCAGGGCTATGACTGGTCCCAGAATGCCAGATTCAAAAATGTTTGAAAAAGCTCTGCTCAGAAGGTGGTCATCACTGATCTACTGTCAGACTAGAAAAATATTAAGGGGCTAACCAGACCGTGCCCTGCATAAATGCTTGCAAGAATTTTCACTAATTATACAAGCGCTGGAAAAAGCACACACATACAGAATTTGGAAAACTGAGAGGTATAATCTTGTAGTCAGCCATATTCCTAGAAGTGAAGACTTTAATCCTTAGAAGTACTTGCAATTCTAGGTACTTGCTGTTACCACGTATTTCTAATGAAGAATCACAACTTTATGGAAAATGTTGTTTATAAATTTTTACATTTATGAGGTGGTCTTTGTCTAACAGCCTCGTTTATTCTTTTTGTGTTTCGTTTTACAGGTAGACACTTTATCTTACCATAACTTTCTTTTTTCCTTTACATTAATATATTTATTTGCTATATTTTAGTTTTATATTACACGTGGAAGATGTATCAGCAAAACAAGAAAGCAGGAAGGTAAAGTATTATTCATGCCTCTCTCATACTGCTCAGACTGTAAAGGCTTTATATGTAACAGAGCAGAAGGAACAGTCCTAAAACAATATTTAGGCACTGCATCATGTAACTTTTAGTCCTCCAGACACTGCATTAGGCTCCCAGGAAACAGACTAGGATTCAAGGAAGGAGCCAGGATAAATCATTTAGAAGGAAACACTGTGGAGAAAGTTACACCTGGAGTCCTCAATTCAGGTCAACAAAAAGGCACAACTCAACCCTGCACTTCTAGCTGCAGGAGGAAACCTGCCTATATCATGGCTCCAAGCTCTCAGTTCAGGGATTAGGAAACTCTGGGAGAATGTGACTGCTGCTTCTGGTATCAGCTGCAGTGCCCCAAGGAGCTGCAGGTCATCCAAGTTCTATTACCCCTTCTGTGGGAAGGGGACTCCAAGCCCCACACTAATCTCTAGCTGCTGTTCACAGTCTGAGAAAGTCTAGGCAATAAAAGAAAATTGACGCTTGAAACAGATGAAACATAATTCCCAGTTTCAGTCAGAGCAGCTCCTGGCCATGATGTTTTAGATCTAGGACAACGTACTTTGGATTTTGGCTCATACCAATTTTTTACAGAAAGGAAGTTGATTTCCATTTGAGTGTGTGTTTTGATTCTTTAGGCAGGAGAATAGTTTTCTTCTTTGCTTGAAGTCTTCTGTAAGCTCCTAATAGTCATGTTTTAATCGGATATTTCTCTTCTAGTTGACAGCAAAAAAATGCACTCAGATGAAAAGGGAATCAAAGCAATGTAGCTCACATGAAAGAGATTAAGAATTTTTAATTAAAATATTTGTCAGTATTTCATCAAATACACATGAACAATTCTCAGGGTCTCCTGTGTGTGGCATAGGATCATAGCAGAAGAAACAATTATGTGTAAACAGCAAAAAAAATTAAGCCCTTGAGAGGTCGCCTTTACTTGCAGTTCTTGGTCTCAACTGCTGTTCATTACCACACTCAATCCATGCCATCAGTTTCTCACCTTGACTAAGAATTCTTCTTTGTTTTACAGTTACACCACCATATCCCCAGGTAGAGAGTTATGAAGCTCACTAAGATGGTGCTTGCTCTGATCAGCATGTTTGTAGTAAGCACTACCCCCTTCCATGTAATCCAGCTCATGAATCTTCCGGTTTCTCAGCCGACCCTGACCTTCTATATGAGCTACTACATCTCCATGTGCCTCAGCTATGCCAGCAGCAGCATTAATCCCTTTTTATACATCCTGCTTAGTAGGAACTTCCAGAAGCATCTCCAGCGATGCACAAATATGGAATTCAGGATGGCAGAAGGGATGACAACATCATTGAAAACACCCTCGAGTCAAGTTTTCAAAAGAAGGTTCTTCTCCCAAGAAAAAGTGCCATGTCTATATGTAGACTTTATTTGTTGCAATAGATAGGCCTGATTTCACTTTCTTCATGAAACTGAAACTCAGAAGTGACTTAATTGCTGGAAACAACTCAGTGTTAAGCTGATGGAAGGGGGTCTGCACTACTGTTTTCAAGGTAAGAGCTCCTAGAAGAGGGATTCTCTGCAAAAATATTCTTTGTTATTGTGACATTGTCTTTTTTATGATTTGTACATAGATTGTCTTTGAATGGATGGAGACAAAAGTAGCTTTTAAAAACTGTAGTCCTCTGGTAATAAGATAGAATGACAGCAGGAGGCATTTCAGATCTAACAGTGTGTGAAGTCATAGAAACTGTCAGTTATTCACAAAGAAGAGAATCGGTTACTGATGACTCAGAAGGGGGTAACTATTGATTTTTATCCTATCTACAGCTGTCTCATCTGGCACTCACTTATGCAGCAATCAGAATCAGGGGAGAGACACGAAAGGCTCTTTTGGAGGAAAGCTACTTTTGAATTAACCTTTGCACATAATCTTGCAAACAAAGAAGTGAATTCACAGTGTGTGTCATTGGAAATTATTAAACATGAGTTTTGAAAATAACTGTATGTGTCAGGGATATGTCTTTGCTTCTCTTTTCTCAAAATCCCTGTTTCTGAGACAACCCAGAGAAGGGTGTTCAGTCCTGAAAGAGTTCAGTGCTGGTCTCACTACAAGGGCCGAGAGGAACTTGGTGCTTGCCCAGGATGCACTCTTCCTCATCTCAAGACGGGTAGAAGAATGCCTACTTGTTGTCAACACTTAATCAACAAGTTTTCTAATAGTAGGATGTAACGAGGCAACATTATTAGGATCTTGACAGCTAATAGAAAAAAACTGGGGAAAGAAAACTCTGTTGAAAAATCTAGTGTTCTTGAGAGTTGTTCATGTTTTTGGTAATCATCACATTGTGGGTTCATCTGCATCATGTTCTCTTCTCAGTCCACTTTCTCTTGTCTGAGGACTTCACTTATCACTCTACTGGGTGAAGAAAATATGTCACTAGGATTAGAGTTTTTATGGTTACAGTATTATTGTTATTCAGAGACCTGATGAATCTGAAAGATTCAGGATACACCTCCCCACACTTACAGTTAGCTTTCCTCTTGTTGATACATCCCAAATGAGCCTTTTATTCAGTTATTTGCAGCACTGTGGAGGTCACAGTTAGTGATTATACTGCGTGATCTGCCAACCCACTGCAGGATTCATGACACAGGAAAGAAGAAAATGTTTTCACAAGAGTAAGTCTGAACTCCACATTCCCAAGCTGAGAACTCAGGTATTGGTCTGTCTTCTCCTGCTATCATATGAAATCTGCAAGTCCCATAGAGTCTGACACTGAAAGAGGACATATTAAAATTAGATACAGAAAAGGAGATTAAGGAGTCTGAAATCACTATTAATAGTTTAAAGCCAAAGCTTTACATAGCAAATGCATCACGAAACATTTGTGATGGTGTTATTGTACCCATAGGAGTCTAAGGGAATGCTCAAGATAAACTTTCTGAGTGAAAGAAATACCTTAATTAAACTCTGAAGGATAGCCACATATAAAGGTTCGTTCAGATCTGAAAAGTTTATCTACTTTTCCCAGCTGTACAAATTTGTCTATTAGAAGCCTGATCTCTACCTACAGGCCTTGTCATTTAAAATAAATTATTTAATTAACAGTTTACACCAAAGGTGGCTTATCAAGTATTACCAAACTATGGCTGTGCTAAGTGCAAGTTTGTTAATTCACTGTTCCAGTCAGTGCCTGCATGTGTCACCTTTTCTTCTGAGTTACAACTGTTGTCTTCTTCTTTTCTTTTTTTTCTCTTTGCCTGGCCTTTTGAATGAGAGCAGATCAATAATGATATGATATTTAACACTTATAACAATAATAAAATAGTCTTTTATAACAGCCTTGGTGGTTTTCTCTTTTGCCTGTCACACCACCGTTTTAAAGTTGCTCTGCTTCTGAGGTCATAGCAATGCAATGGAACCACAGAAGCATAATTTCATTAAATTTTCCCAACAGCAAGGAATACAGGGCATTGAATGTCCTCTTCTGTGGGACACCAATAAAGTAGTTTATAGTTCTGCATTTTTTTCATCTTGTCCATATTGTTTTAATCTTCTGTATCTAAAAATAAAATTGATGTATTTCAGAGAAATTTGTGTAAATATTAAAACTTTTTATTTACCAGTTACTAAATTGTCTATGTTAATGGAAGTCCATTACGGAATATGATAGAAATAAATATTTTCCTTTAAAGTTTTGAAGCATCCGATCTTGTTTATATTGTTTCCAACACAAACAGAATAAGCAGGTCATTGGAAAATAAAAACAGCCTACAGATGGGGAGGAAAGGGAAGATATTGCAATCCTGTTGGATTTTAAATAGCTCTAAAAGCTGAATAGTAGGTGGATTAATATATCTTTCAGTTGAAATAGTACTGATGAAGAAAATCTGGATCTGAAAGAAGAATGTTATTGTGTGTCTAGGGGAAAAGTGTAGAAGGCTATGTAAAGGCAAAGAGTGTTGAAATCAAACTGGAATATTCCCTACTGATGATATGTATTTTCTGTGTTGTTTTGCCACTACATCATCACATATAAGCTACACAAAACCATAATTTCAAAAAGGTTCTTTCAAGATACTTGTAATCTGGTGAGTAGTGTCTGTGTACAGGTAAGGTGTACACCCATACCTTCAGATAATTATTTTTTATTATTTATTTTGCATGAAATGCAGCATTTCTGATCAGGTTGTGCTGCAACTATCATTCGGTCCAGCATTTCAAGTTTTTATTGCATTTAAACTTATGATAATAGGCTGAAAGGGAAAATATTCAGTCATTAAATCAAGAGTCTTCTAGCTGAAAGTTTCCAAACCATCAGGAAACCAGCCCTGACTGTACTCCAGGGCACTGGGGAGCTGAAACTGATTCCAGAAAATTAAATGTCCAAGCTTTGGGATTTAATATCATATCACCTGTTACATACATTTTAATGACTATTTAATCCCATCATCCAGTTAAAACACTGACTGCATGAGCAAGCTGGATGCCTGAGTGAAACTGGATACCTTAAGAGTTGGTAATGATATGATATATGCAGTATTCCCTATCCAGTAAAAGCACTTAACAGACTTATTGCATTTTAAGCATGTAGATAGTCTAACAAAAGTCAATGTAGAACATGTAACTACATGATTTGCCATACTGGGGCCCAAACCTCCTGTCCAAATGCCAGTACCATCTGCAGATGAATTTACAGGGCATAGTTGACTTAAAGGTATGTGCAGAGGTGGAAAAGAGAGAGGGTATGTGTGTGCACAGTTCCTAGCAGGTAAGTGTTAGGAAACGATTGCAGACTTAATTAGCACTTCAGAGGTGATCTTGCTGAGATATATGGTAAGAAACTATTCTTGCCTTTGGAAATACTTCCTGGAGCTGGATTTCAAAGGGCTGAGTTTATACCCATGTATATATTCGGTCACGATCCCCTACCATGGCCATGATCCTGTAACGTGGTGATTTCCTGTTTGTCGGTGCATACAACACATTTGCACATGGATATTTGCAGGGAAACTTTCCACACAGTTGAATGTATCATGTAAAGCTAAAAGTGTGCTTACTGCTCAGTATGAAAGAAGCTCCAGTTTTGTCCTTATGCAGAATGACTTCATACTGCTAAATCTTTACCGTGTTACTAACAATGATCCAGGCCTGTTCCTGATCCTAAATAAAAAAGTAATAGCTTTTTTTTCTCTGACTGGTTCAATTGAGATAATAAAACATGTTTCTTAATTGGGTATTCTACCATAAAAATTGAAAAGAAACACCTCTGAAAGTAACACCAGAGTCATATGAACTGTTTGGGCCGATAGCTTCAGCCTCAGCTTAAACTTTAAACTTCAAACTTCAAACTTCATCAACTTGACTTTTTTGTACAATGTTTCACATAACAGGAGGGATATAAAGGCTAACGTGCTTTTGTTTTGTTTAGGTCCTTTGCACTGAAAGGTAAAATATACTAAAAGTCCTATTAAAAGAATTTTTCATAAGGTCTTTAAAACAAAAATTATGGTTTCTTCTCTTCTATCTATTCTAAATATACTGTACTTGCAGTTCTGATTCAGCAGATTCTGATTCTGACTATTCAGCTCCTCTGGATTTAGGAGTATACTCGAATATTTTGAAAGGCTTATTTTCTGGTCTCTTGTAGAGAAAAGAGGATACCAGAATTATTTCCCTCACTATTTTGTAAATCACTCCTTGAAGACAATGAAAATTTATCTTGGCTTTGTGATATGATGCACTACTTTGTCTCCTACAAGGTTTGAGATTTAGAGGGGTTTTGGCCAGCTTTGCAGCCTCATGCTAAGAGAAAAGAATGAGGACACTTAAACCTGCACCCATCAGTTCAGCAAATTAGTTGGATAAAGCTGAAATTTGAGCAAAGACGCACCTCACCAGATTTCAAGCCATTTGTCTGACTTAAGATGTAAGATCAAAGTAGAAGCCTCATGTGTGAGCCTGGATTTCCAAATTCCTTCACATACAAACACCTTGGAGGATGGTAATTTAGAAATAGGGCCCGTTGTCAAGAAATTAAAAGCAATGTCACTGTGGTGTAGGGAAAGGAGCACAAGTGAGGACCAGCAATATTAAGTATCCCAGGAGAACAATCCTTCCTAGTGCTTCCTCCAACCACCGAGGGGTGGTGAAGTTTTTCAGGACTGGGAATAGGGCAGTGGGCAGCAGCACCAGTATTTGGCAAGGAAGGAGCTGGGGGCTGGCACCTTTCCCTGGGCTCTGGGAAGGGAGAAGTGAGAAATGACTTCACATTCTGTTCATCCATCTCCTTTTAAGCTTCAGCTCCCAAAATTTATCTTCCTCTCCATTTCTGTGATTCAGAAATCATGGCAAGGGACAAGAGGGAGCAGATAAGACAAAGTAGAAAAATGCAATTCTTCAGTATTGGGAGAACCAGAGCACGGTTTTCTTGAAAGCATCCT